TCAATTTCACTCTTATTGAAGACAATTGAATGGCTAGAGGTATTAATGAATAATGGATTCTGGAAGCAGGCTTATAGTGGTAACTTTTAAATTTTAATACACTTAATTGATCTTGTTACATGTAATATATTATGTATATGCACGCATGTGATGCAACATCTAAGAAAAAGTCTAGTTAAAGAAAACAAGAGTTTCACACAGTGAAGAAACATATAACTAGCTTAGGTAGGTACTTTTAAGATTTTCCAGAGACAAAATCCCGTTTCAACTTCTACCTTCTTGGCCTTGAGCTAAAGAAAACATTTTGATAACATGTCACTGTAACTATGCAGATCAATTCAAAATTGGAACGAACGGATAAACAAGGGCAGCCACAGATTCTATTCCGTGAGGGCAGCAGTCTTATCAGACGAAACAAATAACAGATCCTACACAAATGATTAGCCAAATCGAATCGTGACCACAACCATCACAGAATTTATTACGTCTAATTACCGAACAAGTTAAAAACAAATAGTTCATTATGTAGTTAAATGAAGCGAGCAGTGAATGTAAGTGAAGCCAAGGCTAAAAATTATAGCACGCGGAAGGCAGTATGAGGAAGTACATGTATTGAAATGTGTAGGTACGTTTTGAATAAAGGTCGCTTCGAAGCAGATTTTGAAGTGCGCCTAAATATATGACAAGAAACTCCTGGTTATTTTTATTTCATTGTATTTTGTGTGCAATTAGCTGGTTACTTAAATAATGTCTTATATAAGAAGAGTAACATTTATTAGGTTGTTTCCAATTTCGAATGTAAAAATGGCTCTGTCCCTGGCTGGAACTGAAGCTAAGTGCATAATACTCGCTGAAATGAAAGCTTCTTCACCAAAAAAATGGCCCAAGGGTGGTTTTCCTTGACGAATGAATTTATTGGTAATAAGGTTGTTCAAAACAAAATGCGATATAAAAAGGCGTTAAAAAAACATTCATAGTAAAGTTTGTGAAAAAAACTTCTAGAAGATCAGGTTTGTAAGATCAAGTGCAACCCACAGCGTAACTAAACAGTCAACCGGTATAGTCTAGTACCGTTCTATAGACAATCTGTCAAGTTTAGATCATAATAATATCACCGCTATAATGTTGAGCTGCGGTCATTCCAAGCCTTTGGATCCGCATAAAGCATTATCGTTATTAGCATCTGCTTGGAAATTGTTGGATTAAAGTCTTTTAAAAGAAATACCTACAGCGATAGGACAAATCAGATAAAGTATTTGATGACCAAAAAGAGATCCATTTTGGCATCACTGTTCAAATTAGACAAAGATGTATGTGTGACTCAGTGCTTATAAAAAACATAATGGTATTTACTAGAAACTTCTCAAACATTTTTTTATATCAAAAATAATTCATTATACTATTTTGTACTCTTGAGTTCATCAATCAAGTCTGATAGCCTTGAAAAATTGCAACCTTAATACCAACAGCTTTTACAAAGAATATTAAAAAGCTATATTGTCAAGTTAGATATTTAGTCTAGATTTTCAGATTATAGAGGTCAGATCTATAGTCAGACTTTTAATTCGATTCCTGATTTGACATTGACCACTGTCATTTTGTGAAATAATGATACCACATATAACAGTGTAGTGATGAACACAAAAATCGATAAACAATCAGTGAATCAGGTTCAGGAAGGCATTCAAAAAATTACGGCTACCGAATGGTCTAAATGTCCCATGTTTTCAAAGAAGAGGAAAAAATGAGTAAGCTAGATATGTTAATTGACAATAAATATCATAGACATAATTTATAATAAATGTTACATAGAGTAACGGCGATAGCGATAGCGATGACGGCGACAATTTATAAAATGTCTGTTTTATTAGTCACGTTCCTTTATGATCACATTTTTTATTAATTTCACACACAATTACAAAAGAAAAGTCTTAGATCGTTAATTAATTGTCAAAACTAAATTATCGGTTCAGAAATATTTTATTTCCTGATAAACTTAGTTTACGAGAGTAAATTTATAAACGAGAGGAATCGATTCAGAAATATTCGATTTCCATATCGAATAATTTCGCAACGTCACTATTTATTACGTGTCATAACGTTGCAACACTGAAATTGTCAAATCTGGAATGGAATTAAAATTCCGAGTATAGGTCAAATGCGGAACAGATAATTTGCACCGTTCTATCAATGGAAGGTTCACGAGTTGTAATTTGTGTCTATTTATAAGTGTAAGTCAGACAGGTTACAATTGTTATAAGTCCCAGATTCCATTTAAGGCTTAGAAAGTGGGTTTGTAATTATTACAGTCAATTTTAAACCAGGAGTTACTTAATTGATTTATGTCGTAATAGTAAAACTATTAGAAAATTTCAACATGTTTCGTGTAGGTGTGTTAAAAAGAAAATTCCAAAATGTATGTACAAAATTCTTGTTGATAACATTTTCTTTAGTTATTAATTATTCGGTATTGTGCATTACTACATAATAAACATACTGAGATGGATCCCTTGCTTTAGTGTATATTTTTTTTTATTTTCTTCGTTCTATTTATATATATGTAGCAAACTAAATGGTTAAAAGTTATATATTTAAGTAATGTAATCAAACAATAGTGTACCACAATAAAGAATATTGTACTGTATTGTAAATATGGGCTAATTGTCTTAATGTTGTTACTAAATTCTTACATAATTTAACGAATAATAATACAATATATCTGAATACTCGAGAACAGCTTAAGGAAACAAATGTGGTAAAGAATAAGTACAATATCTTCACACAATTCCAAAAACAGCAAAGTTTATAAATAATACCATCAAAGTTCGAGAAAAAATGCCGGAAAATAAATTTAAAATTAATATTGCAAATACAGAAAATGATATAGAACAAGAATACCCACTGGATAAAGTAATGACAAGTAAAGACTATATCATTGCAAGACATAAGCCTGCGGCTAACCAAGATGTAATAGCGGTTGCTTGAGTATTTACAGCATTTAAATCAATCAGATATTTAATTGCGAAATTATATTCTAGACTAGCAAACTGGTGTTCTCGTGTTAAGGATACGTGTGTCTTCATCAGAATTGATTATTATGATCACGAAGGCGTATTAATCGATAAACAATCTAACAATCGTTTCTTAGTTTAAAAATAGTTTATCGATTTACGCGCTTAGAGTATATTTTTAGGATAATTGAAATAAAAATATGGTGGAAAAATGAAATCAACCGCACTGGATGAATTAAAAAAAAAAACATTTTCTGATTTACAGTTCGAGATTAACTTGAGCTATAACTATCGAACAGTTTTTCATCAGTACCGACCCTCAAATGTTTTAGTACTTCGCAGCCATCAGCTGCCATTTTGATTAAATCGGCCATTTAATTATCAGCTTGACATGTTCACACAGTAAGTACGTGCACATTCTGGATGTTTATTTCTCGACACACTCCCATATTTGCACGGATCACCGTTCGAACATAATCTACTCTACCATTCTGGAAACAGCGCGGTTGTAGTGAAAATCGTTTCACCCTTTTTGTACTGGTTTAGAAATTTTGCCTATAAAACAAATTGTCAATTATTCAAGCAATAATAATATGTAAAACCCATAATCCATCATCGTATTGATCGAAGTAGATACAATTATGAAACTTAAATCAGTCTACGCGAACTCCATAAAATTAAAACAGTAAAACAGACAATAGCATCATATGATTATCATCAACAATTTTTCCTCACTTTCTATACATTCAATAGAAGCGTTTAGAAAACTAGAAGTCACACTTCCGACATAGTTACCGCCAGACGTGAGACCCTGACTATAGGAAACGACAATTTTACATTAATTAGTTCTAGAAAAGCGGAAGATGATCTGATTATAGTAATGGAAATCGATTCAGATGATAAACCTATCCATTTGGGTAATGAGTGAAAAATTCTTGTTAAAAGTAATTATGGATTGTGTACCAAATTTTGTATTTTGGGAAAAATAGTTGCTAAGATATAAAAGAAGTCGACATAGCATTAAAATGTTCCATCACATTTAGATTAAAACTGTTCAACGGGCCTCTGCGAGTTGGCTTCGGCTCCTAGTACGCCTTCCAAAGGTCCGGGACCTTGTGGTCCCGTGAAAGGAAAGACCAATACAATATATTTTGTTCAGAATTGTTAGATCAGTTATTCTATAATTATAAAAATATGAGTTTCACTTTTAAGAATGTTACGGCATTTGGCGTGGAAAAACAATTTTCTCGAATTTTATTACGGTAATACGAATTGTGCGTATACTGTAGCTTGTATAACTTGACTTGCGGTAAATGTTTTATTTTATGGCAAGTTATTTGGAAAACCACCTTTAACCTATGTCAACTTTTACGTTTTGAGAAAGTGCAACTAATCTCCTTACACCATGGTTCTCTCACGAGGATGGCTCTTTGAATTTTCATATTTATTAACAATATTCTTTAGGGACCATAATTTTTATGTTGCAGATTATTTTACTGCTACTTTGAAGCTTATTAAAAATGAAGGCAATAAATCATGACTAGGTATTGTTGTTATGGGTAATCCAAAGGGAAAAGTTCGATTGTTCGCAAATTAGATATGAGCTATCACAACGCGTTTTCCAACAATTACATCACACGATGTCTTACAATGACAATTGTTGTCGTACAAAAGCCTTTGGAGCAAGACATGGCAACGTCCGTTCATAATTCTCGAAGGTAATTACAACTGCCAATTGTTTGTCCATTTATTCCTTCGCCCTTCTATTGTTCATGACAATATACCATGAAGGTTCATATCGAACATTTTCATAAACGCCATTTAAAAATAAGCATTTTAATAAACTAGAATGCGACGTGCTCGCGTGTTATACTTTCGAATACATTTAGTTTTGACCTCTAAAATCAGTACGTGTATAACGAGGTAGCAGTCGACACAAAAACAGAGCAAACTAAAATTAAAAAAAGTAAGACAATCACAAAAAATTACCTTTGTCGTGTTCTGCATTTGCAAAAACGTTGCTATGCCCGCCCGTACGCGGTTTTTCACGCCCCTTATTGTTCCTTTCGAACTTTTTATTGTTGATGGCATCTCCTCGTTTTTATAATCCTTGACACCAGCAAAGTATTCCAACTCAGACACTTCACACTCACTTTTAGCACCAACACTAACACTTTTCACATCATCAAATTGTTTTTCGTTCAGATGGAAATCGTAAAACTTGTCCGTGTCAAAGTAATGGCTGCTGTAAAACATTTGCTCTTGTTTCATTTTATCCTGTTGCTTTCGCTCCTCGTATGTGCTCTCACTAATCAGCGGCGTTTTAGAGCACAAGTTCGCGGGCAGCGACTCCGTTGTGTTCTTACACTCGTTATTATACTGAGAAACTAGACGGAACGATGTGAGCTGTGCGCTTTCTTTTGAAATATTAGCATCCTCATTAATATTCTGGTTCGCTTCCTCGTGCGGCTCGGGCTTCGGCTCGCTTTCAGTTTCGACCGTATTTAGTTTCGCTGAACGGTCTCTTATGTCTTGCAGCAGACCCTGCGGTAGAAAGCTAGTGTCTTTATTGTTCACTTTGGCGAACGTCTCCGGCGCGTCGGGTGATTCTGCACTCTCTTTCTTTTCTTTTTTACTATATTCGTTATGACTTTCATCAGCGTGCACGCTTACGTTTAACTCGCTACTGTTCAGAGAGTCGCATGATATATTTGAATCGTTGTCTTCAAAATCTACTTCACTTTGACTACTCCCATTTCTCGAACCGATAAGCGTTACAGATACGGCTTTCTTTATTGAACTAGTTTTAGAAGTCTTCTTTTTAGGTAGAGGTGGTGGAGTGCCGTCAAGGTCGCTGCAGGTTCCGGAGTCCAAAGTATCACTGGGAGAGCACTGCCCGCTTGACATAACCATATTAGTCATCGAGTTGACAAACGAATTACAATAAATGTATGGCGCTTTATCCGTTTTCAGGATTTCTTCGTGTTCTATAATTTTCGGTCTATTTTCGTCAACGTTAAGTCTCACTAGGCTGTTGTTTTTCTTACAAACGTCATTTATCTTGAAGGATTCGAAGTCAACGTCGCTTTTGAGGTGTACGCTTGATATTTTTGGTGCTTTAGGTTTGTCTGCGTCGGTGTTTATTCTGATTGTGACCACGTGAGGACCGTTGAGAGCGTCCGAGCTAGGCGTACTCGCGGGTCGATCTGACTGGGTCGCCGCTACAAATACCGTTGCAGATGGTGTCTTAGAATTAAGGACGAGTGAGTGCATCGAACTTAGTGAGTCCATCCGGACGTCAGTAGCGGTGAACCCGTTTGTGTTCATTGTAGCTTCGTCACTAGTTATTTGTGTATAAGTGGTCGATCCTCTTTGCTTCACCTTTGGGGGTAAAGGAGGAATGTATTCGACACTGGGACGAGGCGTAATTTCTTCCATCATTGTGGTTGCTAATAGTTTGGCATAATTAACGGTGCTTCCCGTTCGCAATGCTGGTCAGGTCCGCTCAGATAGTGTTGGATGTATAAGGCATAATGGTTCCGGTGACCGTTCGTGACTAGGTCAATAATCCGCTCGGGTGGCCTGTTTTCTTGCGTTGTTTATTTACATCTGGAAAGAGAAAAATGTGATATTAGTATAAGAACTTGAATTATCTTTAAAGGCTCGAGCTATGCGTTCTAAATAACGTTTAACGTTGAATCTGTATGTGTGTAGTTTTTGTACATATTTTAATTGATTCTTGAGCCTTCAAGTTACGGATAGTCTTATAGTTGATTCACAAATACATTGTTGGGTTATATAGTACTTATATCAAGAAGGAAAAGTTTGTTGTAAGAATGGAGGGATGTTGGTTAATCTTTCGCGTAAACACAGAAGCATAGACTTCAACGAAATTTGGCACATACATATTTTGTAGATAATATTCTGAAATTTTACATTACTGTTACCGCTGCTGGCAGTATTTCAGAGAAACATGGGTTTTTATTATGTTTTCGAATATTACACAAATATTAGCTTATAAAGTTCGGCTTATCAACTGTTAGATTTATGGCAAAGTTCAGATCAAAGTTCTCCCTAGTATTAGTATTTTAATTAAGATTACATGTTAATTTGTAGTTCTTAAAAATGATCACTTGTATTTTGTTTTAATTCACGTTTTACACAACCATTTACCCACAAACGCAACTTGATTCCTTCAATAAATTCAAAGAACAAATTAACACAACTTCTTACATAACATTCCAGTAAATAATATGTAGTAATTTAAACTTAATACATTACACGAATTTCTATATAATTATACCTTATTTTCAGAACGTAAAGGTTGAATTTTGAGAATCGTTTAACATTTTATTAACGTGAAGGGAAATGCAATCGTAACCAAACTCTATGATGGAAGATCCCACGATGTAAATGTTTAAATATTAATGATTTCCTAATATATATAAAACGAATCGTTTTCAGTATAATGAGTATATAGAGTTATATGATAATGTACTTATTTAGTATTGGAAAGGTAGCCACAAAGTTATGCAATAAAAATGCTTAAATTTGAAGAAGACGTTGTAATTATGTGTTTAATTTTCGTTTTGTAATATATTTATATTTAAGTTCATTCATTTTATTTGTATTTAAGATAATCAATACGTGCTTGATACGACAACTTTGATTTTATGGCATGAAATTAAGAAATTGAAAATCATAAAATTAGATTAAAAATCTCTTTAAAATAATTCATATTTTTAAATATTTTTTAAATCACTTCTTACGAGAAATAAAATTGTTTAATACGTTCTTATTCATTTTACATTCATTCTATCTACTCCTTCAAAAAATAACCAAAGGGCAAAAGTCTATATTCCCAAAACTCCTTATCGCAAAGAGGCCGGCAACTAACTTGCAAGCTATTTGGTTTTGCGGTTGTCTATGCGCGGCGCCGCTTCCAACCATCAGGTAATCCATATACTCGTATGCAGTCATCCAAACTACATAATATTATAAATGCGACAGAAACTCTGACTGTCTTTTCTTCACACCTAAACTAATGAACTGATTTCTGTGAAATTTGGTACAGACGTAGTTTTGATGTCGAAAAAAGACATAGGATAGTTTTTATACCAAAAATATGCAGGAAGTCACTATTCCAAGCGAACGGAGTCGCGGGCAAAAGCTAGTATCACATAAAAATCAATTACTGCTTATACATTTTCTATGTTGTACTAAATATGAACTTTCATTCATGCAGTCAACAATCATATGCAGTAGTCGTCACGTCAATACTAATATAGTTTTAGCCATGTTTACTAATGCTGCAGTTAAGCCTTCATTCTCAGTTCCTGACAAGGTTAGCAAGGTCCATCCATATTGAATTGGCTTGTCGTATTGTTATTGTCACTTTCTCTTAAGTATCTAGGATTGTTAGCACGAGGGCCTTGTTTCCGGAGCGTAAGTTCGCGTGCGCCACAAAGAGCCATCATAGTACCACATGGGGTCCACTAGGGCTGATGTCTAGCCGGGGTTGCGGTTGTAAGTATTCAATTCAATTCTTTATTTGCATTCCATATGTTATACAGGTGATATTTTATAAAGTTGACACAATATATTAGAAACAATATGGACCCGTTAGGGCACAGCATAAAGAGTTTGGAGAGGTTTATTATACAGTATATATTATCTAGTTTTGTATTATATCTATGCTTATTACTAAAACTGAAGTACACATGTTGTATTCTTACTTATTAAACTTATTAATACTTATCTTAATGTAAGTACAGTAATGTACCTTGAATCGGCCTGGAGTAGTCTGACTCTCCTCCTTGCCTTACCCAGGTCGGGACAAGCCACTGCATAATACTAACTTTATATCTCTTTATAAATTCTTGTTTATCAAGGGTTTGATACAAATCTTGTCTATATAATACGCTTTTTTACTTGAGAAGGGTGGTTACAGTGGTTTCTGATATTTATAATTACTAACGTTGTAGCGAGTACAAATTTCATTTTATACATAATAATTTAAAATTGTTTATAGTCAACACGACTACATCTTTAGCAAATAATTACTTAATAAACAAATATGATCATGAGAATGTCGCACTGTAAAACGAAAGCAGCAGCAAGCAAAGGTGATTTTTGTTGTGGCGTACCTACCGTATTATCTTTTTTACGACCAGCTCCAAACTACATTTTATGAGTATGACAAGATACACAGTAGCCATTTATTTATCCTCTAAGTTGCAATCAAAGATAGTTTTCTACCATTTACTCCAACAGTTTATACCTTGACCTTGTAATTTAAGTTTAAAAAAAGAAAGAAAAATGTCACTGCACTCGTTTTAAATGCACACTCACGCGCACATGTCTGCACGTTAGTAAATGATACGGTAAACTCAGACTGACATCCAGATCATCCAATTTACATACACAAGCCTAGAATCGATTATCGATCTTCAATCGATTAAAATTCATATCGATTCTTATTCGAATTGAATTAAGTATTTATGAGAATTCTTATTTTGAAAAGGATGGGAAGTGTAAAGGTCAACAGAGGTCATTTGGGTGCTTCAAAGGAAATTGAATGTTGGTTGTCGATTTCTGAGCAAATATTGGTGTATTCTGCAAATATTTGCTTCAAATTTGGGTGTGATGTGTGCGTAGAATTGATGTTTGTAAACACCTACATATAGACGAAAAATTTTATCCGGAATAACATTTTTTTAAATGTAATATGTCGGCAAACGAGATTACTTGATAGTAAGTAATCAGCGCCGCCTATGTACACCCGCAAAGGAGGAGTTACTTGCGAGTTAGTTGCGAGTGCGTTGCTGACCTTTTAATGATTAGGGATTAGGGAGGATAGAGGGAATGGAAGGATTGGGCCTCCTGTAATCTCACTCACACGGCGAATCACAACGCTGTGGTTGTGTCAGTCGAGCCGACCCATTCGTACCGAAGCATGGCTCTCCCACACTTCTTTATAAAAATTCTTTAAATATTTTTGGCACTTTCATCGCATAATATCTTTAAATTTTTAATATTAACAGGAAGTCTAGCATTTAATGCAAATAATAATATTAATGCAACGCATTATTACACAAAAATCGGTTCAAATTTAAATCGATATAATTCCTAATCGCATGACATAATCGATTCATAAATCGAATACCGTCAACATGAGCTTATGACGTAAAAGATTCAATAAAATAGTTTCTTAATTAAAATAAAAAAAGTGAAAGTAATAATAATTAATTGCTTCCGATGTTTTTATGATTTAACTATAAATATGTTAACATCGGTTCAACAAATTAATTAAAAAATAATGTAACATTCGATGTTTTATTTCTCCTTTAATAATATCTAAATTATAGTTTAAAAATAGCTCAATTAATTTTGTAACTGTCAAAATATGTGGTCAAATTTATTTATTTTATGATTTAATTTATTTTCTTTTCAAACATATGGAGTATGATATAACACTTCTTACGAATAAAAAAGCAAAGTTTCAACTACTAATATAATATCTTTGCACCTACTTTTACTTGGATATGTTTTAATCCAAATCAAATAGGGCGTTTTATCATCTAAATTGTCTATGTTTAGTCTAATTATGATTCCTTTTTTAGATGTGTGTGAGCCTTGATTTGGCCATGAAAAGAAGAGACTTGATCGGAATCAGAACCGATTTTCGAATCTCTGACAACCCCAAAAAGGCATTACCTTTATACTGGTAATTATTTAACGACTCTTTGTATGATTATTGGTGTCATGTGTATGTGTAGTTTTATGTTTTTAAATGCATCCACGATAATTATAGGAAAAAATACTAGTGTTGGGCAGAGCTTAAAAAAAACTCATAACTGCAAAAAAAATTATAAAATCTCAGTGTTAATTTCGACCCGTGGTTTCTGACGCTTTGACATTAGTTTGACTATTGTTACATGTATTTTTGCATAAAAATAACATTAACATTGTTATTTCTTAGAATTTATTACAATGCACTTATATATTTATACTAATGAATTATTTATTCATTTAGTAATTTATAGAAACGAATTGTTACTAAAATATTGGATTGCAAGACAAAAGTGATTTTATTTTATTACGAAAAGTTATAAATAAATAATAAACTTGTTGCAAGATGCAAAAATGACTTTGATATTATTATGTTAGTAAAAGTATTAATAAACTTTTTCATTTTTTTTTAATGAAATCATAAAACAGCCAGTTCAATTCAGCTAGAAAAATTCCTTCTTTTTATAAAAAAAAAAAACATTCGTTCTATTTTATTTCATATTAAACCTTTTTAATCACATTACATTTTTTTTTCTTCGTTTAAAAATAACAGTCAGTATTGTTTTTCTTACTTAGAAAAATATATTATTTTTTATTTAAAAATATGTTATTTATATAGTTTTAACCTAGTTAAGTTGAATCTTCCGTTTCTTAGAACTGTGCTTTTGAACTTTCTATAGAAAACGGTAAAAGAGGTTGGACGGGTGTGACTGTGTGACGGAGTATCGTAAACAAACATACCTACTAATGTTCGTTTATATTATATTAGGAATATTTGTAAAAGAGGTGGATGGTTTTCTTTTTTTTTTGTAATTTAG